CACACACACACACACACACACACACATAAATTAAAAAAAAATTAAAAATAAAAAAATAAAAAGTTGTTTGTTGACAGTTGTGGAGGCACACACTTGCAGTCACCTCACTCAGAAGGCTGAGACAGGAGAATCTCTGGGAACTTGAGGCTAGTCTGGGCTACATAGTGAGTTCAAGGCCAGTTTGAACTACAGTGAAACCCCGCTTCACCCCCACCCCTCGCCCAAACAAACAAAAATATAGTCTTTTGTAATCTCTACCCAATCCTGCACGGAGCAATCCTCCAGACATAAACAGACAGACATCCACCTTCAAGTCCACTATGAGGTCAGATCAGCCTATTCTGCAGATGAGAGCGCGGCACAGAAGCTGTGCTACTTACGGACCACGGAGTGGAGGCGCACGGGCCGAGACTATCTCACTGTCCAGCCCCACCAACCGGATCTGCGCGCATTCTTTTCGCTATGCCCAAAGTGTAAAACTTTGTGGATGAAGAAACCGAGGCTCAGAGATCCCTAGCAATCAGAACCACAGTATCCGGGATGGTAGCACATGCCTGTCATTCCTGCACTCCTGGAGGCTGACGCAGGAGGATGGCCAAGTTTGAGCACAGACCGAGCAATTCAGACATCGTCTCAATACATGCATACTTGCATGCATACATACATACTTGCATGCATGCATGCATACATTCATAGTTGCATGCATGCATGCATACATACATACATACACACACACATATATACAAAGGGCTGGGGATGCAGCTCTGGGCAAAGGTCCTGGGTTCAATCCCCAGTGCTGTAGCCGAAGAAAACAAAAACACAACGAACTACATGGTTCCCTGCCGCCCCAGGGAGTCAGAGATGGCCAGGAGTAGAGGGCCTCGGCATCGGATCTTCGGCCGTCTGGGGGCGCCCGCAGCTCGGTGGGTGGCCGCGGGGGTGCAGTCCCCACCCTGCGGCCCAGGGCGGGGCCCGGGCGCGTGGCGGGTGTGGGCGTGGCGGGGGCGTGGCCGGGCTTCAGAGCCGCTCCTGCCCGAGTGGCGGCAGTGGCAGCCGCCAGAGCAGCGCAGCGCCTGGTCGCCCGGGTCGCCCGGGTCGCGGAGCAGGTAGAGCCCCCACCCTGACCCCGACCCTGGCCCCGGCCCCGGTTCGGACGTCCCCAGGGTCAGGTGCAAGGATCCCTGGGAGCCTGGCTGCATCACCGGGTCGGGGAACTGAGCCCAGACCCACCCGAGTCAAACAGCGAAGCTGGAAAACTCGCCCCGACCCGAGGACGCGTCCGACCTCCCTGACCCTGCGGCGAGGAGCAGGGGAGCAGCGAGGCTGAGGCTGACACAGAGACGCCTGGTGGGGTGGTGTCGCAGAGGGCACCGTAAGGACCGCGGAGTTCCGACCCGCGACAGGCACTCGTCTCGCAGCCCAGGAGCACCGGTCCAGCCGTTCGCCCAGCAGTGACCCGCGCCGGGCACGGGCTGCACAGGTCCCTCTCCTGGGAGAGCTGCGGCCCAGGACGAACCCAGGTTTGTCCTAACCAGGTTCCAGCCTGGCACTAGTGTGACCCCTTGTGACCTATACTTTCCTCATCCTGGGCAGCAGCAGCAGCAGAACCCAGTTGAGGGACAGGGAGGGGCATGAAAAGCACAGCTATGGACGTGTGTCTGTTTCCGCGGGGGGGGGGGGCCATCAGCCCCTGCCCAGCTGTGCACGGGAGGGTGGGGTGGGACTTTTCCAGAGAGGGAGCCAGGCCTGGCCTGGGCCCCAGGAGCTCACGTCACCCCTACCCCACTTCTCCAGGGAGCTGCCAAAGCCAGTTCAGGACAGGATTATGTGTACTAGGGTGGACCACGGAAAGGGGCAGCAAGGGGCAAGGGTCGTGGGTCCTCTGGAGCAGGTAGTGGAGGACACACGGATTAGAGAAGGGGCAGGCGCGGCCCATCACTCGCTGGCCTTCCTTCCAGCCTCAAGTAACAGGCAGAGGGCTGAGGGCCAGGCGCTGCGGTAGAAAGTGCATCCTTCTCCAGGTCCCCATGCCTCCTCTGGCAGGAGAGAGTGGCTGCCCTCCACTGCCCAGGCAGGGGAAAGAGATACCACCCCCAACCCCAAGCAGCTGAGTCGGCCTCACACGGCCACCAAGCTGCTCAGCTACTTTGATCCCTCAAATCCCCAAGTTCTGGGTCTCAGGGAGAGGAGTGGGTGGGGTATTGCTACCCCCAAGCACATTCCTCGCCTTTCCTCAGTCCTTTCCCTGCCCTTGAGCTGGTCTAACAGCTCCTTGGATTCCTCTCCTGGTGCCTTTCTGATCCAACAGACACAGTTTCTTTTTTTTCCTGGAAAGCAGAACTAAAACAGGGTGGTGGTGGTGGGAATGGCTCAAAGTAAGACAGAGGAGCTGGAGGACATGGAACTGAGCAGCCCAGCACCGGGCCAGCCGAGGGCTCCAGGGCCCTTCCGAGCTGGACTTGGTGACTTCCCGGCCTTCCCAAGTGAGAGGCCTATGGCTGGGGAGTTGGGGCAGCACGGACTGCGTCTCTCCCTTCCCTGGTTTTCCAGCCTTTATAGCTGTGCATCAACAGAAGAAATACATTTTAAGAAAGGGGCCGGGGAGATGGCTCAGTGGAATAAGCACTTCCCTGACAAGCGCAAGGGCCTGAGTTCAATCTCCAGTTACGCAAAAAAAAAAAAAAAAAAAAATCAGAAAGAAGAAAAATAGCATGTTGGTACATCCCTGTAATCCCAGCATTTGTAAGGCTGAGGCAGGAGGATGGTGAGTTCAAGGCCAGCCTGGAATACATGGTGAGATGCTGTCTGAAAGATAAATAAACAGAAGAAAAATAGTTGGGCATGCAGGCATATACCTATAATTCCAGCTCCTCTGGAGGCTAAGGCAAGAAGATCACAAATTCTAAGCAAGTTAGTGAGGCCCTGTGTAAAAATTTAAGAAGGAAGGTTGCTTAGTGTTAGAGGAATTGCGTAGCATGCATGAGGCCCCGAGTTCAATCCCCACTATCACACACACAAAAGAGAGAGAGAGAGATGAAAGTTAGGCACACATGAAATAGGCCCCAAGCCTGGCATGATGATACAGACCTGTAATCCCATAGCTATGAGAGGTTAAGGCAGGAGTATCACAAATTCAAGCAAAACCACATCTCAGAAAATCAAAAGTCTGGGGATTTAACTCAGTGGAAAGGCCCTGGCTGCTGCTGCTGCTGCTGCT